AACTGCTGAGAAGCGTCGAAGACGGACAGGTAGACGTACAAGCAGCAGGGGACAGGGTGATTGAAGGATGGGAGTTCATCGTGAACGCAAAGGCAGAGAGAGTAGTGGGAACGAAGGTGGTACGATGTGGGGTATCGGTTAAGTGGTGGGATGACGAGCTGAAAGAAGAAATAGGGGAACGTAGAGAAGTCTTCAAGCAGTACCTGAGTGAGGCGTCTGAGGAGAGTTGGGAAAAGTACAGGGCCAAGAGAAAGCAGGTGAAGGGAGTAGTGGAAAAGAAGAAAAAGTGTTTTTGGGACGAAGTAGTGCAGAAGGCCAATGGAGGCCTGGAGGGGAACATCAAGCAGATGTGGGAAGGGATTAGTGGAATGGTAAAAAAGACCGCGCAAGGGGGGGATACAGGGGTAGCAACTTTGCGAGGTGTGAACGGTGGATTAGTCAGCAGTGGGAAGGGAAAAAGGGAAGTTCTAGCAGGACACTACAAGAGACTTGGAGTGCCCTCGGAGAATGAAGCTTTTGACCAAGCGTTTAAGAAGGAGGTGGACGCATGGGCCCAAAAAGAAGAGGCGACATCGAAGGCAGACGTTGGGAACGTAGAACTAGAAAAGGAGTTCACTGAGGACGAGGTTGAGGCGTGTGTGAACAAGCTGAAGTGCCACAAAGCAGCAGGAGCGGATGGGATAGTCAACGAGTTCATGAAGTTTGGGGGGAAGGGGATGATCCAGCTGATGGTACTGCTATACAATTGGGTGTGGAAAAACGAGTATACGCCAAGTAGATGGAGGGAAGGAGTGGTTGTGAACTTGTTTAAGAAAGGAGACAAGACTGACCCAGGAAACTACAGGGGGATCACACTGTTGAACACAGTAGGAAAAGTGTTCTGTAAGCTGCTGAACGATAGGATAGTGGGAGTATTGGAGAAGGAACATAGCATTAGTGAGGGCCAGGCAGGTTTCCGCAAGAAGAGGGGGTGCGTAGACCACGTGTTCACGGTAGGGAGAATCATCCAAGGTAGAAAGAGGGCGGGAAAGCCGACGTACTGCTTCTTCCTGGACGTGAAAAAGGCATACGACACCGTGTGGAGAAATGGGTTGTGGAAACAACTGTCCAAATACGGGATCAAGGGGAAAATGTGGAGAGTGCTGAAGAAGATGACAGAGTGTACGAAAAGCGCGGTCATGCTAGACGGAGAACTGTCAAAATTCTTCGACATTGAGCAGGGGGTCCCACAAGGTTGCACGCTGTCCCCAACATTGTTCCAGGTGTTCATCAACGATCTGTTGGAAGTCGTAGAGGCAGTCCGGAAGGGAGTAAAAGTAGGGGACACGGAAACGTCGGTTTCAGGAATGCTGTTTGCGGATGATTTTGTCGGTATGTCGGACACCCCTGAGGGACTGCAACTGCAAATTGACGCGGCGAAGAAGTTTACTGATAAGTGGAGATTGTCTGCCAACGTTCAGAAGAGTGCCGTCATGGTATGCAACGAGAACAAGGAGGAACCAGTAGAACATAGATGGAAGTGGGGGATCGAGGAGATTGCAGTAGTGGACCAGTACACATACCTCGGAGTAGAGATCGCAAAAGACTGCTCGTGGAATGCACACATGTCCAAGGTAGCGGAAAAGGGCAAAGCACGAGCAGGGAAGCTGCACCCAATACTCGCAAACCGGCACCTCGATACACGCATCAAATTGACGGTTTTGAAGAGCGTAATCGTACCGCCGCTAGAGTACGCCGGAGAAGTATGGGAAGGAAATAAGAAGGTAGTGAAAGAACTCGAGGCGGCGCAGATGAAAGCAGCGAAAACCATCCTAGGATGCTCCAGGCGCACAAGTAATGCAGCCGTGAGGGCAGAATTGGGGATCCAATCCCTACGGTCGGGAAGAGACGCGAGGAAGCTGACCTGGCAGTATCGCATGTGCGGGATGGGAGAGGAGAGGTTGCCGAGAATTGTATGGGAGGCGAAGTGGGCAAACAAAAAGAGGGGTAGACAACCCACGGAATGGGTCAAGGTTGTAGAGGACGTATGGAAGGGGCTCGACATCGACGAAGATGAAACGCTGGAAACGGAGGGTCTACAGGGGTTCAAGGAGAAGATATCTGTTGCTTGTGCCGAGAGAGAAGAACAGAATCTGAGGAAAGAATCCAAGGATAAGGAGGGTCTAGAAGTGTACGGAATGTTGAAGGAAGGAATAGGGTTCAAGGACTACCTACATGGACCAATGGATGCAGGAACAAAGCTTAAGGTCAAATTCAGGACCGGGGACATAGGCCTTCGAGAACGTCGACGAAGACATAGGACGGTTGACGACGACGACGATGAGTTCAAATGTGGCTGCGGCTTCGAATTCGAAGACCGTGTTCATGTAGTNGACGTACAGGTAAATGTTTGAGGCATGGAATAGAGAGGAAAGGACGGTAGCTGTACTGGGGCATAGGAGGTGGGTTGAAAAGGCGGGAAGGGATATCGTT